ACATACTGCAATCACAGTTGTTATTCATCTATATACATAATCATGAAAGTGACACAGACGAAAATATGTGGATCATCAACATGCCTCACTTGTTCATAGAAGTATGAACTGAAATTCGCTTTTTTGCTTTTATCTCAACAAGTATATATGTTAGAATTAGCTTTTCATTCATCATTCATATTAAAATTTAATTTAAACATGATTAATTAATAAATACGTGATGACCTTCCAATGACAAGATGACAAGTGGATCATTTGCGCTTTAAATACGAAGTGTCTCTCAATTGTTCTTTATCTCAATTGTTGAGCTTTTTGCTTATTTTCTTTGTTTTCTTTTCTTATTCTTTCTTGTGTGTTGTGCAATTGTGTGCCATTCCTAATTTTTCCTGAGTCATGTCAGTAATTATTTGTTTTTGAAGTACAAACACAGAATTGAGGAACATATGAAATGGAAATTGTAATGGGGTAATTGCAAAAGAAGAAACAAAGAGAAAAGCTGAGAATAGTGAAGCGTAGTAGTTAAACATAATTGGAAAAGGCATGGATTGTGGTAATGTGGGCATGTGACGAGTTCTAAATGCAGATGGGATACAACAGAGTTTGGATTCTTTATTGGTTTCCTATGTGAGTAATACTGATAGTGGTCACACCGTCATCCACCACCTTTTCGCTTTCAACTAATTGTTTCCCTCCCTTTCTTTTACCATTTCATCTCTTCTCATATTTCACCATCTTCTCTTCCCCGTATTTGACATCTGTTGCCTTCCAAAACTCTTTCTCTATACATAATTTTTGTCATATATGTACGTAGTTGCATAAAGATGAATGTCACACAATATTACTTAGGCTCCTGTAGTTTAGAATTCCTGGTTAACTGATGTCCCAACAATAAACCTATCACCAAAGGTGCAATGCAAGGCTGCTTCAAGAAATCATCAATATATGGCAATCACTGAACGATGAGGGTTTTGGAGGGTGAGGGCGGGATCTACGCGTTTATAGTTTCTATTTTATTTTACTTTTTTATTGGAAAGCATACACTGATTGTAAGAGTCATGGTGGGGTAATCTTCAGGATAAAGACTTTCTATCTGATAAAAAGGAATCTACAATTACTGTATGAAATTTGAGAAATAAATCACTGAGATTGAGGTTTTGAAGTTACGAGGTGATCGCAGTGTTAATTGTACATCCAACTCGGAAGTTTTGCTCAGTCGAATTGCTTTGAAAGTAACATTTAATTTGCCCCTCATAAACACAACCCCTTCTATATTAAGTCATCGAAGGACGACAATTACAGAAAGATCCAAATAAATCTACACTGAGGGTAAAACGGAGGGGGGAAAAACGATGACAAAATGACGTTTTAAGAGGGAAACTACCATACCTGTATATCTAATGCTACCTCCACTCCTAATGAGAATCTCGTTTGTAGTCTACAAAGGAGATTTTATAATTAGAACAAGAGGTAGTATAATGTAAAATGGTGGTGTGTGGTATTTGACAGCTGATCAAATTATGAGAAGCCCCAGGAACGCCCAAGTTCAGACTGAAGATATGTTTATGATGGCTTGGTGTATATGCCTTTTTGGGTTTGTGTCTGTGCGTCATTGATTTCGTATTAATCAGTTATAATATCATATCATATTGCCATCAGATGTTTTTTTAGGTAGTCTAATGTTGAACATAAATTAAGTCCAACTTCGAGAATACTTTATTAATGTCTTGCACTCCACAACTGAAATACTTAAACTAAAGAGCAAGGTCAATCATCATATGCATTCTTTTTTAATTATAAAATAAATTACATATATTTAAATATCTAAGTATTTTACTTATTTATAGTAATTAGAGGCTTTTAATGGCAAAAAAAAAGAGGCTTTTATCGTACATTTTACAATTTCAATTCTTAAAAATATCCAAAAAAATTTTATAATATGATTTTAAAAAAAAAAAGCGTCTTTGTGTGTATACACAGGTAGAAAAAAGGAAAAAGAAAATAGTCTTTGGATTGACAACCCGCCCAACAATATTTAAATTTGACTTCATGAATATAAAAATATGTTGGTGGGTTTGGTAAGCAAGTACTATTCACCTTAGGTTTTTTTTTTTTTTGGCTTCAACACCTTAAGTAAAGTTTATAAATCAAATTTTACGAATAAAAAAATTAGTGCCAGCAACAGGATTTCATGTGATTTAACCAACTTCAATGCGAATTAGAGTTAGATTTAATATTATTTCCAAAAATCAACCGGTATCTCTATCCTAATAGCAACCATCAGATTCATAGTTGTTTTTTTTTTTTTAATTAAAGTAAGAAGGGAGATGATAAAGAATTTTAATGTCATCTTTGTTGGTAAGACATTGGCTAGGGTGCGTGCGTTTTTTTACGTAAATTGAGGGATTGAAGGTCAACTACTTAACACATAGTCAGTCAATTAAATACTGATTATTATGGATCCTCAGCGTAGTTTTTCCCAGACTAGGGCGAATTAATCTGCAAAACAGAGACAAGCACGTTTGAGTTAGTCATGCGTCCTTAGATATAATTCCTCCCGTTATTTTTAAATTATTCTCTGGATAAATCAACGTTTGATTTAAAAAAAAAGAGAGAGAGGAAAAATCAACTGCGTTGAACCATACATATAATTTCTCAATGTTTAATTGTGTGGCTAAAAATCTTTGCCTAAAACTAGGAACTAATCCAGGAAGTTGTGGTGTGTCACACCTTAAATTTCATCAAAGCCTCACCTTTTTCTCTTCTATAAGTAACCTCCACACCCTGCTTCTCTTCATCATCAGTTTCTCGTTTCTTCACTGAAGCACACCCTCACGCCATTAAAACTCTCTTCTCATAATGAGTCTCCCAAAGTGTCTCATAGTTTCTTCAGTAATTTGCCTCCTTTTTCTGATTATTAAGAATAATGCTGTTGAAGCGTTTCATGATATATACCCACTTCTTCAATCAGTCTCGGCGACTAAGGTGAATCAACTTCGCAGAACTGGCTATCACTTTCAACCTCCTAAGCACTGGATCAACGGTAACATATATCCTTCATTATTTACCGTATGAATTAGCCCTAACTTCAGCTTCGTTTGGTGTATGGAAAATCTATATAATTTCTTTAGAGTCTTTAAAATTCTACTAATGAAAACTTGAAATTTTGCCTCGATCTGATCATAGATTTGTACGTGTAAAATCATAATTTCATAATAACGTTGAAGTTTAGAAGAATTGGTTTACTCCCATATACAGCATTTTGGGTTTTCTTTTCAGCCTATTTTTTCTCCGGGGCATGACATATTAGCCATATGCCATATATTAGGGTGGTTTTTTTGTCACACGCATGCATGGTGACTGAGTGTTTCGTAGCATCATAAACAAAGAGTTTCTGAGGCATAAAACTCGCAACAACGTTAATTCCATGCATGCATGGAGGCAAGAATGTTGTAAACACAGAATTCTGGTGAAAAAAATGTAAAATACTAGCTTTCCTTTATTTTGCTGTCTCTTCCTTCTTAGTTTGATAAAAATTAGTCTTTGAGCTCATTCTAGTAATAAGAGGCATGCATGTTACGTCCTTTTTATTTCTTCTCTGTTCTTGTCTTTTGAGTAATATATATGAACAAGTTTGGCAACTCGATCCATTACATGTGCTTTGAATATTTTGGCCCAAACAGCTGGTTCGATCGACACGGTTAGGTATAAACATGATTTTTCTTAATGGTGAAAGAGCATCGATGGAAATGTGTGTGTGTGAGAGAGAGAGTGATCTAAGCTTTATTAACCTTATGCCTTTATGCATGGGTGTCCAATTTACAGATCAGAACTCTTCTATTGGGATTTGGGAATCGATCATGATACTTCGGTTTCTTTTCTGCTAGGTTTTTTAACAGTCGAATATATATAATACAAGCAAATGTACGAGTGGGAATTCGTTTTCCTTTGAATTCATGTCGGATTAATTTGTGTTTGAAGTCTTACTTGATCGGGACTTGTTGGGGATAATGACAGCGTAAAGTTGTCATATTGGAATTTGGACACATGGTCAGGTATTTGATGTAGAAATACTGAAAAGGAACAAAAAGAGAGTATTGTGGCTTCCTCTCAAACTAAAACTATGTTATCCCAAAAAGATAATCCATGTGATGTTGTGTCGACTGGGGATACTACTGTACTTTTCTCATTGCATTTTCCTCACCATTCTTCTTCGCACATTTCTGTGCTAAAAAATAAAATCCAGCTTGTTGCTGATTTCGAAATCCACATGCAGCTTCCACGATTTGAATGTAGCTTAGTGGCATGAAAGTGACCGACCTAGTGGCCACTGTTCAGTTCTTGGTGACTTTTTACCATGTCATTTTTCCCATATATTCAATATTCTTTTGATACCACAATCACAATGATCCCTCTCATTTTAACAAGTCGCCAGCATCCAGATTTGCAAATGTTCTTGGGGCCCAGATGGATCTAATATACAGTAAAAAGTATGAACAACTTATTTTCCTTTAATGAATAATGCATCCCCGAGAGAGATAATTAAGTTCGTCCGCATGGTTTTTAATATTAGCCTCATAGATCATCACTAGATTTTTTTTTTTTGGGGTTACATCATCACTAGTTTTAATAATTTCCTGCCGTCCTAATCATACAGATCTTGACATCATGAAAATCTCCGTCCTATATTTTAATAATAATAATCTCACAATTAATCAGTTAAAAAAATGATCGGTCAAATCAAATATATTAAATTTTTGGCACCTTTATGGCCTTTCACCTTTGCCATTCAAGATTCATAATTTTTCAGAGTACTTCTAAGTTCTAACTTTTTTCGTGTTACCATCCTTCTTAATTTATGGGGTTCAAATTGGCGTAATGGACGAATTCATCACATGAAGATCCAAACGGTGAGTCTTCTTCTTCCTTCCCATATGCTGCAATATAATTTCATACATGTTCCTCTGGTGTTTTCTGAGATTCCACGGTGCATGCCGAAATAGGGCCTATGTTCTACAATGGATACTACCACCTGTTCTACCAGTACAACCCCAAAGGAGCCGTGTGGGGAAATATAGTGTGGGCCCACTCCGTGTCAAAGGACCTTATCAATTGGGAAACTATTGAACCGGCCATTTACCCCTCCAAACCGTTCGACAAATACGGGTGTTGGTCCGGTTCGGCCACCATTGTTCCCGGCAAAGGACCAGTAATCCTCTACACTGGAGTTGCGGATGAAAAACAAACGCAGGTCCAATGCTATGCTGCACCAGAGAACGCATCGGACCCGTATCTCAGGAAATGGGTGAAGCCCGATTCCATGAACCCGCTGGTGGTTGCAGAGATCGGCGTCAACGGCAGCGCTTTCCGTGACCCAACGACAGCGTGGCGGAACAAGGAGGACGGTCACTGGAGGATCCTAGTCGGCGGGAGAAGGGGGCTAAGGGGAGTGGCCCATCTATATAGAAGCAGGGACTTCGTCAATTGGGTCAAAGCCAAACACCCGATCCATTCTTCGGCGTCCACGGGCATGTGGGAATGCCCCGACTTCTACCCGGTTCCTGTGAGAGGCAAACAAGGGCTGGATACATCGATGGTGGGGAATGACGTGAAGCACGTGTTGAAGAATAGCCTCGATATGACGAGGTTTGAGTACTACACAATCGGAAAGTACATTCCGGAGCAGGATCGGTATATCCCGGATAACACTTCGGAGGACGGTTGGGGTGGCCTCCGATATGATTACGGTAACTTTTATGCCTCCAAGTCATTCTTCGATCCCGTCAAGAAACGAAGGGTCCTGTGGGGTTGGGCAAACGAGTCTGATTCTAGGGTTGATGATGTCAGAAAAGGATGGGCTGGAATTCAGGTAGCATAATGATTGTAATAATAAGTGATTTCCAATTCTCTCCCTCTTTCTTTAAGTTGACATATGTATACGCTTTTCAGGGAATCCCGAGAACAGTATGGCTTGATTCGAACGGGAAACAATTGGTTCAGTGGCCGGTGGCAGAATTGAACACTCTTAGAGAGAACCAAGTTCAGATGAGCAACAAGAGGCTTCGAAAGGGAGACTACGAGGAAGTAAAAGGAATTACAGCTGCCCAGGTCTGATTATATATAATAACATGAAAAAACTTTATATATATAGTGATCTGATGTATTCTAATAATGGTATATTGCATGTATGCAGGCTGATGTGGAAGTCAGCTTCTCGTTTTCAAGCTTGGAAACGGCAGAACAGTTTAATCCGGAGTGGGTGAACGCACAGGATCTGTGTGCTGAGAAGGGGTCCAAGGTTGAAGGTGGGGTCGGACCATTTGGGCTCCTCACTTTGGCTTCTAAGAACCTAGAAGAGTTTACTCCTGTGTTCTTCAGAGTTTTCAAATCTCCAAACAAGCACGTGATTCTCTTATGCTCTGATGCATCCAGGTTTGGCTACCAAGAGTTACTTTTCATGCCATGGAATCATGTTGTTGGTAAATGTGTTTTGATTGGTTTGGTTTTCCTCAACAGTTCATCTTTGAGGAGTCATGCTTACAAGCCATCATTTGCTGGCTTTGTGGACGTGGATTTAGCGGCAGATAGGAAGCTTTCTCTTAGGAGTCTGGTATATTATAACAGCTAGCACACTATATCCGTCAACTGTAAACACACACACATCCATAGTACAACAAGTTGTACTGTACTGAGCTTTGAATTATTATGAAATTGAATGGGCAGATTGATCACTCGGTGGTGGAAAGTTTTGGAGCAGGAGGGAGAACAAACATACTGTCAAGGGTTTATCCAGAATTAGCCGTAGGCGATGCAGCCCACTTGTTCGTGTTCAACAACGGTACTGAGCCGATCAATGTGGAGAATCTCAAGGCTTGGACGATGAAATCTGCTCTTAGAAACTAAAATAAACATGCTTCTATATATGCTGTGTTTATAATTAAGGCGCAGGATTCAACTATGAATAATATAAGCCCGTGACTGCCCTCCTACTTTATTTTTCCAAAGATTCATTAATAGTGTCGTCTCGTTTTCTTTGGCAAATATAATGTTGCGTTATTTAGTATTATTTTCAGTTGCTTTTAATTTCCCATAGAAAGCAATTTTCTAGGAGCCCCCCTTTTATGACAATCATCAGCAACAGGATATGGATTGTGGCGTCTTTCAATACCAGCCAACCATGACAAGGCCGCGTTTCTTCCTTGGTCTGCCGGAAAAGAGAGCGCGTAAAACGAAAGCCTTTCCAAATAAAGTATGATATAAATTAAGGAGGCACTCAACTCACATTTATATTATAAGAAATGTATTGAATCTTACTCTCAACCTACTCAATATGCTTAACCTCTATTACCTTGCACAACACTTGAAGCTTCAACTTATTATCAAGTCGTTCTAATCGCATGCATAATTTGACGATTCTCATTTCGGGAGCTTAACGCCCATGAATACGCATCTATAAGATTACTTAAAAAAATAGACATGCAAGCCAAAGAACATATTTTAGAAAATAATATATAAATTTATTATTTTCAACGGAGAGAAGGGGAAAAGACTAAAAGAGGCTCCTCTCACACCTGCCTGCGCATATATATGCACATAAGTGTATTACCAGTTCACACTACACAAAGCGCCTCGGAAAATATTGCTGACCCATAAATTAAGAAACACGGTATACGCTCAAACATGGCGGCCAACGGTACTGTTTACGACCGAGCAGCAGCCGTGAAGGAGTTCGACGACTCCAAGATCGGAGTAAAGGGCCTCTCCGACTCCGGCATCACTTCCATCCCTTCTATCTTCGTTCACCCTCCTCATACTCTCTCCGACCTCCGCTATTCCTCCTCCTCCACAGACGCCGCCATCCCTGTCATCGACCTTTCCAACGTATCCTCTCAACCCCACAGACCCAAAATTGTTCAACAGATGAAGGAAGCCGCAAAAACATGGGGATTCTTCCAGGTCATCAACCACGGAGTCGACGTGTCAGTCCTCGACGAAACCATTGTGGCCATCAAAGCCTTCCACGAACAGCCCCAAAAAATCAAGGCCAAGCTCTATAAACGCGAAGAGGGACGGGGCGTCATGTACGCCAGCAATAACGACCTGTACCGGACCGACGCCGCCAGCTGGCATGACTCGCTGCAGGCGTGGATGTCTCCGGAGGCCCCGAGGGCGGAGGATCTGCCGGAGATATGCGGAAGAGAAATGCTTGCGTGGGACTCGCATGCTAAAGGGGTGGCCGACACGGTGATGGAGTTGCTGAGCGAGGGGTTAGGGTTAGAGAGAGGGAAGTTCAAGGAGCTGACGTTCTCGGAAAGCAGGGCGATGGTGGGGCACTGCTACCCGTACTGCCCGCAGCCGGATCTGACTATGGGTATAACACCGCATACGGATCCGGGCACCATCACGGTTCTGTTGCAGAACCAGGTGGCGGGGCTTCAGGTCAAGCACGGTCATCACTGGGTTCCCGTCAACCCTCTCCCCGGTGCTCTTATTATTAACGTTGGCGACATGCTTCAGGTACTATTACGTACACTTTCTCCATGATTTATCTAAATGACAGATATGATACTAGACAATTCTTTTGCAGCAAGCATAATATAATATGCAAATCGTATATATTTTGATGATTTCTCTCTTGTTGGCTTCTGAAATTGATGTGCTTTGTGTGTGTGAACTTTGACTGGCGGGTGGAGATTGTATCGAATGGAGAGTACAGTAGCGTGCAACATAGGGTGCTGGCGAATTCAGAGAAGGAACCGAGAATTTCAATAGTGATATTCTTTAATCTGAGGAAATGGAGAGGATCAGATGGTCCCGATGGATATTATGGGCCTCTGCCGGAGCTTCTGTCGCCGAGAAACCACCATTATACAGAGACTTCACGGCGAAAGAATTTGTCGACAACTTTTACAGCAAGGGGATAGATACCAAGTCTCTCCCTCAGAAACTTGAGATTCAACACTAAAACTGATGTTGCTATGTTGTGTGTGTCGTGTGATATTTCCCTTTCCTCCTTTCCTCCTGTAAGTATAGCAATAATTATAATATAAGAACGTTTGTGCATTATCGTTATTTGATGGGACGTTATAATAAAAATAATACTGCTAATTAATTAATGATGAGTGATATTGTTGTCATTTATTATATCAAAATATTTCCAATTCAAAAGTCGTCCTAGATTCATCAATACAGAATAATATTAATTTTCACCGACAAGAATACAGAATTATTATTATAATTATGTACTACTTTCGGTCCTTAACATAAAAGCCTGTTTGTCAGCTCTCTGGTAACATGCAAAATTTTCAAAAACACTTAATATATATCACTTTCTCAATACAAAAACTAATGTATAAAATTAAAAAAAATAAGTTAATCATTTAAAACAAATTGTATTCATTTTTAATATATTTTTTAAAATATTTGTGTGAAAATTTTATTAATTTATTAATTAAGTCTTACATCTGAATAACATTACGTTTCAAACTCATATTGTGGAGGCACGAGTGTGATAGTGTGGAGGGTCAATAAGAGGAGGCGGAGGCAGAGGCGGGTCACCTTCTCTTTCCACTCTTTACCGTCAGCTTCTATTCTTTGACCACCAACATTCATTTTATATAGTCCTCTTTTAACATTCACTTTCTGATGACTTTAACATTAAAAATTCCTTCTAGGTCGTGGGCCCGTACGTACGTTCCATTCTCGCCACCCTTCGTTAATTTCTTCGTATATCTCACATGTCTCTTTCTTAAAGGACACGAAGCAGAATGGAGAAACCCCTTTGAACAAGTTTTCTTCCTTTGATGAGGTGTGTCTGCGCGTATCTTGTCGAGTGGATGTGAGCCCCTGAGCTTCCCATGCACGCGCCGCCGTTTCGAACCCTCGAAGGCTATGGCATTGAGCCAGTGAAGGTAATGAAGCTCCGGAAAGTATAACACTGAGGAGAATTATTGAGAGATGACATGATAGAATGGAGAATGTAGAGAACTAGAGATCAAAGAAAATGAAATCAAAGGCATCGCACGCGCAGGATATTTTAATCCAAGGGTCCACATTAAAATCATGGTATCATGATAGAAAGGGGAGAAAATTAAAAGATGCGAATTGGGGTGGTGAAGGCGGAGGATTAAGTCATGGTGATGAAATGAAGACATGATTAATTAGGAGTGCAAGTGGAAAATGGAAATAATGAAACGCGGAAAGAACAACGTGGGGGCTCTAGAAACATGTAAATAGAGACAACAAAATGCAATGATGGGCAAATATGAATTACGTACGAGACACTTGAAACTCAGTTAGAAGGTCAATAATTCGTGTCATCTATCGAAAGCGTGCCATATCTATCTATCCATTCCTGTGCTCTTCAATATTCGCCCACTCCTATTGCACTTTATATCACTATTCATACTGGGACCATAGTTGTGGTAATTGATAATAGCTAGATACACATCATATTATAAATTCAAGTGAACAATGGTGGGGAACAATCATGATCCCTCTTACATCATATTGTATTGTTGTATCAAGAAGCAGGGAAGTCATTGGATTGTTTTTTTTTTTTTTGGCGTTCTTTGCTTCACAGCAGCGCTTGTATGTAATCTCTCCTCCATGCAGGAGTCCAATGACTAATTTACAAAGATTAAAAAAAATTATTTTAGTTATTATTTTTAAAAGAGTACATTTTAATTTTCTATGATACTTATATTTTAATTATTTATCCTGAAATCTACTTTAATTTATCGATTGCGCACATTTAATGTGTGAATAAAATATGAAAGAAGAATAACAAGTATACGAGATAACAATAATTGAGACATTAAATTTAAAAAGTAAAAGAAACTCTTTAATTAACTTTTCGATTTAGGAATAAACTTAAATCGCACAAACTTCTCTGAATATAAAAAAAATAATTGTACAGATTTTTCATACGCATTACTTTTGATAAGTTTTAATATTTGATTTGAAAATAAATAACACTATTATATTAAATAAAAGGTTCCCTCCAATACTTCAAATCAACATTAAAATTCCACGTTTATTACACAGAAACAAATAGTTTCCACTTAAACAAGTTGCCCACAAACACTTCATACAACCCCATTTATTGGCAACGAAGTGATTGTAACCGATGAGCCCGAACAATCTCATCATCGGCGTTAATAGTTTCCTCTTGGACGCAAAATTTCCAATGTTTGCTTACCTAATGTCTTCAAAAAATGGTTAAAGAGATGCTATTTTTGGAGCCACAATCTCAAGCAGTCCCTTCGGGTTGTCCACATGAACCCAATGGCCTGCATTTGGAAGAACGCAAAGCGAAACCTTTCCCCGCGAATCAGTTTCTCCTCGCCTAGCACATTTTTGAATTTTCTCAATCGCGTCTCGGTTCCATCTGTCGCTATTTTCGGCGCGCACAATCACTATCTCCATACCATTAGGGGTGTTCTCCAATAGACCCCAGTAGGACTTCTCCCTACATATTTTACATTGGGGATTACTACCCATTATCGTTGAAGAATATATAACATTAAAAAAAAATGCTGAAGAGAAGGAAACAAATAGTAACTTTTGGCCGCCCTGTTTTTAATTTGTAGGGTTTACCAATAAGAATCGAACATCTCCTTAGCACCTTCAAGATCAAATGCCCATGTCTCATGGTCACCAGCTTTCTTTAGATTGGTACCTATCCATTCTGACAATGACTTGGAGTAACCTAGTCCCATCAGATGACTCACAAGCCACCTGAAACCAGGCGCAACAATGGATTAGTCTACCGAATGGTAAATTGCAGATTATGTATCATGTATATTTTAAAGGGTTAATAATATTTGGCCTCTCAAATTTGCATGAATTTTAGTTTTAGTCCTTCTTATTTTAAACCATAGGTTTTAGTTCCTCATAGGACAAAATGATTTAGGCCTTTATTAAATTATGGAGACCAATGTTTTGAATGGAAATTAAACTTAAAGAACCAAAACCAAAATAAAGACAAACTTGAGAGACCAAAAATTGTATTAACTCTATTTTAAGATGATCATTACAGAAAAGGGCTCTCATAAACACAGCGTCTTCAACAAGACATCAATTGAAGACAGACAATCAGATTATGGTATCATTAGAAGGATGCACAATCCATTTTCCCCCGATATAAATTCAATAATATTTCGTTAGAACCATTGGCATTACGCAAACACATGCAGTCTATCAACTCCACTGATAACAAAATAAAAATTCAAAAATCTAAACTGTAATAATTAGTAATGATAAATAGACCCTATGCGGGAAAGTAAAAGCACACGAACAATCTCTTTTGAGGTCCTAATAATCTCTTAGAAGGTGATCAGACGATTCAGCTTCACCAATACCGTTTATCATGTAGTCCTAATATATGCCAATAGATATGCATCTATTCCTTGTACCATAAAGGGAAGCACCGGCCTATTAACAAACTAGATCATGAGAACATGTTCAGAAATAGAGTCTTACTTCCGAGAAGGGATTTCAGCTGGCAAACTTTGCAAAGTCCGCAAAACATCCCGAGCTTCTTCATGGCTATTTTCAGGGTTCAATTCTCCAGGAACAGCATCCAAAACCCAGAGCTGTTTTCAACAGGGGTGGAAGAAGGGATAGATTATTATTCTCGATTAACTGAAACTGTAGCATGCGATTGAGAAAATCTATTCAATTATGGGAAAGGATGCTGGTCCACCCAACAAATGTAAACATAGAAAGGACAACAGTTGGGCATACAATACTAATGTAGAAAGAGAGAGATACAGTGACATACAAACTGGAGAAAAGGAAAGGAAAATGAAGGAATAACTGAGGACTACACATCTCTTAAGACTTGATTATTTATTTCCCGTTCTAGAAGTCCATCCATTTTGTTCCATATCCATTCATGAAAAGAACGGGATGCTAGATATGTGCAGTTTTTATGTCTGTTTAATGGCATGCGAGAAAGGGTTCAACCCAACCAGCATGCTGTAACATCTAGTCAATATGTATCTTCTTTTGTGGTTAAACTATCCTCTTCAGCTGTCACAAAAAGTATTATTATTTTGTGAATCAATAATCTCTATAATACAACTTTTATAATCATTGCAAGCATGAGAGAATACCTCAATAAACTACCTATTTAAGTATACCGGCGTTCAGTATTCACGATCACACCGACACCCATTTATATAGGCGTCTTGGCCTGCATTAAATGAGCCCTCTCATTTTCTTCCACTCAAATTTTATATCAGAGGGTTACATTAATAATGCATCAATGAAAGTGTCAGATCGACCTCTATCGCGCAACTTACAATCTCCCTTGGTTACTTACAGATTTAACGGGATTTTAAGTCCCTATATTTTAATTATCTTAAATACTAAGCTCCCAAGTTCAATCGAAGCAATCTTTTGGCCCGAGCTACTCGTCTTATCGCTTATAGCTTTGGTCCAGGCACCATCCCAGTCTCCGTCCTGAAATTGAAAGACCTTATTTGGATTGATTCAGTCAGGAGGAAAGAAAAAGAGCAGCAACCTAGCCACTCCATTATTTTTATCCGGATAATCATATGTCCCGCTACTTCCTTATAAAGCAATGAAGTATAATTTTTAATAAAATTGTTTCATTACATACTAGTTAAGCCATTCTAACAGAGTGATAAGGTAGCCAGAACAATCCATGCTTTTCTGTTAGGAATAAACCACGAAATCTCCAAGGCACATGCAACAAAAAATCAGATACTTGATTTTCAACCAGTAAATGAAGATAAATCACAAAATAAGCCTTGATGAGTTCAAAATGAAATAACATTCAATAAAGGCAATCAATCAGAATAAAAGTTCAAAGATGGATGACCTTTTCACTTAAATAATGAAACGACAAATAATTAGATGGGTGGACAACTAGAAAAGTAAGAGTCCAAGAAAGACCTGTTTTGGCAATGAGGCAGAATTACCATAGTCACCCCGGCTACAGCTCTCAGCAAATTGCATAACGACCTTTCCACCCATAGAATGGCCAACAACAACTTCAGGCCAAGGCCAGCCTTCGACCTTTACCAAATCAGCCAAATCTTTGGCCGCAGTATCCATAGTATGAGGAGGATTTATTTTCCTGTCCGCTGATTTTCCATGATTCCTCATGTCCAATAACACCGTCCTCCAATCTACATGCAATTAAATAGATAAGCCAGACTTTAGGGGGAGGGGGGAGGTAATTGGGTTGTTAGAAGTAAAATGATAAGAGTTATAGAAATAGATACTTGAAGAAGGAGAGGAATTAGAGAGAGCAGCGACGAGACTGCGGGAGAAAGATCTCCAATTTCTTCCCGATCCCAAGAAGCCATGGATGATGACAGCAGTTGAAGTGTAAGGTTTTTCAGGATAAGCTCTCACTTCTTCGTAGGCTACGGTTTCAAGTGAGCTTGTGCTCCCGAGATGACGAATCGGTGAATAGAGGAACCTGCTAAGGATCTGGGAGGCCCTTCCGTTTCTGAGAGCTGCCACCATTTCTTTCCGGCTTCGGCTTTCGAGCCAGCTTGGACCGAAGAAGCAAGGAAGCGCTCGCGCGGCTGCAGCCTAAACGACACCGTAGCAAGGAACCAATGAATCTGTTCTATTTCATCCAATTAGGACGAGACGTACGGGTGTTCATGAAGCCCAATTGTCTACTATGTCCACCCAAGTCCAGAAAAAAAATACCTAGCCCGTTCTAAAAAAAATGAACCGAAAGAACTATTGGACATGTTCGAGTTGGGCAAATTATTGGGTAGGGATGGGCATCAGGCACAGTATGCTGCCCTGCCCATTTGGTCCTGCCCGCAAAAACATATATAATTTTATTTATATATATTTTATTTATCTCATTTATTTTCTAAATCAAACGTATTGTTGTATCAATATTCAGTATTCATTATACTTATTTATTTTTGAATGATTTTGAGAGTTAGAAACTAGAAAAATAATTAAGTTTAATAAAATATACTAATAACGTTTTTTGTCATAGTCCACTCCTCTTAACTACTACGAAAAGTAATTTCATAATATATTAATTAATAATAACAAAATTAAGACCAAGTTTCTATTTTAATATAAAGTTACATTAGACTATTTAGAGGGATATAAGTAATTAGTTAATTAATATAATATATTGACTTGTTGGGCATAGAAGCCTGTCCTGCCTAGCCCGTATTTGTCCAGTCCAAACTTATTAGTGCTTTTTATGGGCAAAGTTAAGCAACATGCTGCATTTTTTAGCCCGTTCATTCTTTGAGCTTGGCATCGGGCAAGAGTCCTGTCCTGCCCATGTGCAGTCCTAACAAGACGACAGCACCATCCGCAGAAGGTTCCAGTTAAAAGAGTACGTGAATCCAACGGTGCGGGTTCGAAACCTGGTGGCTGGTGCAAGCATTTCAGTCGTGTCTTATTTGTCTCACTAGGGCATTTCGAGTCGTGTAAAATTTAAGTAACGAACAAAATTACAAAAACTTCCAATGATGACAGCGTATAATGACAAATTTAAATGATAACTCAGTAACAACTTGAAATACTCGTAACTTATATAAAACTTCTTAATTATAATTTATAAAATATAAAATAATTATGTAAAAAAAAATTTATCTCAACTATAAAAAACCTTTCCGGCCTTGTGCATGACTCTTAAAAAACTGTACTATTAAACTCTTGGAACGCTGGATAGGGAAAAACTGAGAGAACGTGATTCGTCCCTCGACGGCCGGTTCCAAAATGGTAAAGTTTGCGTTCATCATGCTTTAGTAGAAGAATAAGAATGTAATCGCTATCAGAAGCAGTTCCTGCAATCCCAACACAATGGACCCTAAATATTATACTGCTCTTCTATTGAGGTGCAGAAATGTCTTACAGATTAGACGAGTTCATGCGCGCTTGGTCGTCAACGGAGTACTTGCAGACCTCGTGGTCGCAAACAAGCTTCTTTACATATATGCCTATCATAAAGCTACGGATGATGCTTCTGCTCTGTTTGGAGAAATGAAAATAAGAGACCCGAAATCATGGAGTGTGATGGTTGGTGGGTTCGCTAAGGTTGGTGACTATGTCAATTGTTATGCGACCTTTAGGGACGTTATAAGAAATGGAGTGCAACTGGATAGTTATACATTGCCTTTTGTGATAAGAACTTGTAGGGATAGAAAGGACCTTAAAATGGGCCGAGCAATCCACGGCATTGTTTTGAAGCTGGGATTGCATTTAGATCAAATTATCTGCGCGTCACTGGTGGATATGTATGCAAAGTCAATGGTGATCGGAGATGCTCACCAACTGTTCGAAAAAATGCTCCACAAGGACCTTGTAACATGGACAGTAATGATTGGCGCTTATGCTGAATGCAAAAATGCTTATGAGTCATTTGTTCTATTTGATAGGATGATGGAAGAAGGTGTTGTTCCAGACAAGGTTGCTATGGTGACTATTGTCAACGCCTGTGCAAAACTGGGGGCTTTGCACAGGGCTAGATTTCTTCATGAATATGTTAACATAAATAATTTCTCCTTGGACGTGATCTTAGGGACAGCAATGATGGACATGTATGCCAAGTGCGGGAGTGTTGAGTGTGCAAGAGAGATATTTGATAGAATGGAAGAAAAGAATGTTATTTCATGGAGTGCCATGATTGCAGCTTATGGATATCACGGGAATGGCAAAGCAGCCCTTGAATTGTTTAATATGATGTTGAGCAGTGGAATATTACCTAATAGGATCACCTTTGTGTCCCTCTTATATGCTTGTAGCCATGCAGGACTTATCGAAGAGGGTCGTAATTTTTTCAATTTGATGTGGGAAGAGTATGGTGTGAGACCTGATGTCAAGCACTATACCTGTATGGTTGATCTGTTGGGCCGCGCTGGAAAAGTCGACGAGGCCATGGCATTGATTGAGAATGTGACTGTAGAAAAAACTGAGGGACTATGGAGTGCTTTGCTTGGCGCATGTAGAATTCATGGGAACATGGAGTTGGCAGAAAAAGCAGCCAATTCTCTTCTTGACCTACAACCTCAAGAACCAGGGCATTATGTATTGCTGTCTAATATTTATGCAAAAGCGGGTAAGTGGGAAAAAGTGGCAAAGATTAGGAGTCTGATGACCCGAAGGAGGCTGAAGAAACCCCCTGGGTGGACTTGGATTGAAGTGAATAACAAAACCTACCAGTTCAGTGTTGGAGATAGATCCCATCCTCGGTGGAAGGAGATCAACAGAATGCTGATCAGTTTGGTTAAGAAGTTAGAAGTGGCTGGTTATGTACCTGATACAAGTTTTGTTTTGCATGATGTCGAGGAGGAAGCCAAGGTAGGGATGTTGTATTTGCACAGTGAAAAGTTGGCTATTGCATTTGGTCTTATTGCCACTCCTGAAGGAGATCCTATTATGATGTCGAAGAATCTGAGGGTTTGTGGTGATTGTCACATGTTTATTAAGATGGTCTCGTCTGTGACGAGAAGGGCCATTACCGTTCGGGACGCAAATCGCTTTCACCATTTCAGTGAAGGGGCTTGTTCCTGTGGGGACTATTGGTAGCATAATGATAGTTCCAAGATCAATTGTTATACATGTATTAGTATTGCTGCATTTGCTTACAATTGACAGCCGATAGAATTGCATTTCGATACTAAAAAGAAAGCTGTGTTCTTCCCATTGGACTACGTAGAGACTACCCTCGTCCCCCCTCTTCTCTCTCATTAACATGAAAATATGAAATAGCATGATCCTGTTTCTAATGTGGCAGAAAGGAACTGCACTATCTTTTCTGAGTCATAGAAATGATATTATTCATAGCCGCCTTAATAATGCATTTGTGCAATATCATGAAACACAACTTTTTGGGATGCTAATTCACTTTTTCTTTGCGTTGGTTTTGTTGGCTCCATACCTGAGAACTGGAGCTGGACGGGAGATTTATATTAGCAAGAGTGGGAAGGCAAAACTATTGGCAATCCTTTTTTCTCTCATACGCACTGAACCTCGCCCATCCGGTCCCCGATCCAGCATAAATTCAGGCCACATGTATTTTCTTTCTCAGAAGCCTTTCCCCCTTGTTTCCTGGTTCTAAGGAGATTGTATGAAGGAATTTAGGTACGTACTTCATTAGAAGTCCCTAAGCTTACACTCATTGTCAAAAGTTTGGCCCATGGGCGGATGTGTGGCGGATTCGGCCTTGGTTATACATTGATACCATTTGATGGGGGCGTTGCATGTTATCAAAGCAAATTGACAGCCTTGTCACGAATGAGGCTATGCGGCTGCAAATACGTGCTACTTTTGCGAGCACAATACAAAACGAATTTTTGATCCAATCATTGTCATCATCATTACAGTATGCGGCCCCAGGCCAACATCATAAATTTCGAGTCCCATACAAACGCACCGACCCTATTTATACGGGGGAAGCTAATGCAACATCAAGACATTCGTGTAGTAGCCGTGGCTCTCCTCATCAAGCGATGAGAATCAGAAAAAAACCAGTTCAGCTATTGCAGCAGTTGTGATTACTAAATAAAACCAATACCTCCAAATAAACAGTAAATCATATGGATGGGCTGCCTAACCCATTTGAGATCGAAGTGGGAATTAACCCCTACTGCGCACCAGCTAATTATGTTAAATCAAGGTATGCCACAGAGAATATCTGTAGTCCATTTATATCCACATATGAAAGGAAGTATTTTAAACATTATGCTCTGCTTTTATGTTCTGATAAAACCTTACCGATGAAACAATTTTTGCATTTCGCTTGTAAGAACGAGGAAAAACCAGGAGGTTATGGGGTTTAAATCTCCCTCCACACAGCAATTTTTTCCTGTTTCAACTGTTGAAATAAGGGATATGTGAAGCATGATGCAAAAATACACGAGATCTACAGAACTGCGAGTCTCCAAATCTGGTCTAGTCAAATGGATCAATTCGCAGGTCATGCTCACTTGCCATCATCATCCCAGTGCAAAGGCATGTCGGACACATAACCTAACAAACTTGTCATTAGTAATCACATTACTAATTACAGAAAATTTTCAGTGCATGAACTGCATTTGTATAAGTCAAATTATGAGTTAAAACACACCAAAAAAAATAAAAATCACATGCATACTAAGACAGTCATCTTTCTATGGGTGAAAAGGGTTTAGACAAGTTAAAGATCAGCATTTGGCTTTCATAAAAAATATACATAACACAAATTCCACTCTAGAAGTCTATTTTTCAAAAAATAAATAATGTATATTTTCTATTAGACATTGTACCTTTCCAGTACCAGAGCAATTTGGACACCTTCTGGTTGTGGGAACTTGCAGTGGCCTGTCAGCAGCATTAGATACTGAGATGGGATTAATGTTCAAGCATACACCACTAGAAGAACAGCGGGCACAGGCCAAGTATCCTGTCCATAAATTACTGATCATTAAGAATATATCCATAGTTCCAATGAGAGAAATTAGAATCAGAAGTAATTTCAATTAAGTGGCAGCAGATCCAATCAAACAGGAAAAACAGTTTCTCAAACATTCGAGGCCAAGCTGTGATATCTAGAGAACGGACATTTTCAGAGACCAAGCTGATACATACCAGTTCCATGGCAATACTTGCACCTTTTTTTCTCTTGCTGCTCAACATTATTAACCTCAATTAACATCAATATTGATATAACACCCACTGCTCCACCAGAAAATGATGCCACAATTGGATCAACCTGACTAAATTTGTAAAGCAAATCAAATTAGAGATAGACATCAAACAAAACAGCTACTCATCAATGAAGTAGTCCAAGGGCAAACTTGAACAAACAAAAGTAGGCCAATCAGAGAACCAATATACCTTAATTGCAAAGGCAAGCGCATGCTTCTTATGAAATCCTCATATGAGGTACCGCCCAAACCTAATTTTAGCTCCAGCTGTAATGCAGCAATACATTTCAGTATTTGAAATCAATGTAGATCACGGTCAAAAGCATATATACTTGCACGACAAAATCATGATGCTAGAAATCTATACCACCATAGAAAGCACCATAAAATAATATAACTATCTTTATCATATCAATTGAAATATGAACATGTAAATAGTGTCTTTAAGATAATAAGACGACTAAAATAAATAGGTGGAATTAAAGGGGCGGATAGGCATTCTTCAGTGCAGTTTGATGTTCTGATCCTGTCAAATGTGGCTAGATAAAATTACCGTTGGTGCAATAAGCCCGCCAAATACAATTATGGCAGATATCAAGGATAAGCCTGTTAGGTAGAGCTGCTTCAAGGTCTTCGGTGTCTGCCTCAAAAGAAAGTGCACAAGGTTATTCCAAATTAAAGTGGTAAATCCTTCAAGTTAATTTTGATCAGGTAAGTAATGATACAGAAACAATAGGAAAATGCGAAGAAGCAAGTTTTATTCTCCACTTACTGGAGATGGATTCATAAGTAATTAATCGTGTCAAAGAGTCTATTATATCACACAGTTCGGTGAATAGAAGAACCATTCAATAATCGTAGCTAAATTACGACAAAATTTTGAGGCTTACCACATGCGGAAGAAAGGGAATTGACGATGGAATTTCGGGCATCTCATACGCTTCTTCTCCATCCTCAGTGATGACTTTCATACTTTTTAAGCGCTGCTGTACGCGTAATCTCCTCACCTGCTCAAAGCATCACATAATCTATCACGATAAATGAATTTAAGGCTTGTCAAGAGACTAGGGTTCACAAGTTGAACTGAGATGACGTTGTAAGACAACCTCTTCCATGAGAAGGAATATTTTATTGCGCCTACTCTTTATATTGTCTTGAATTTCCTGCGTCTGCATTTGATCAAAATCCTGAACCGTCTCCGGCCCCTCAATAATGCAAAAGTTGCTGGCAATTACAAAGGTATGTTATGCCCAAACCAACAGCAAAATCACGACTCAGTTAAATAGAAGGAGTGCAATAATTAAGCTTGAAAAAAAAAAAAAAGAATAACAACAGAGAAATAAAGAACCTCGGGTTGTTGTCATCCTTCGAAGAAGAGCAGAGAATTCTGGGTTTAGAGACGGTGTGTCTTGGAAGGAGGAATTGCTTGGGGTTTGGTGGGGAAGAGTCATAGAGAATTGAGGTATTAGGAAGCCTGAGAGTTGAAGGTGTCCTTGATGGAAGGAAATGAGAGCAGAGAACGAAAGTGGTCATTGTTCGGTGCTCGCGGAAGATTGATTAAAACTGGGTTTATAAATAAAACAGGGGAGGGTGGGGCCGTGGGGGCTTGAAGTAGAAACCTGAACGGAACCGATCTAGGGCACGCGCTTGGCCTGGGAAATAAAAATAATGCATCATTGCACATTATACTTTATTTTTTACAAAAAAGGGAAAATATGCTTCGATTCATACTTACTGTGAGTGTAATGTGTGATTACTGGTGCTAACTAGAATAACCGTCACAGACATATTACTAGAGCCGCTGATACTAAAATTTGCGATGTAGGTTTTGCGCACCGGGTGAATGGCGACTGGCCAGACCGTTAGCCTCGGTCACCGCTCTTCTCTGACTTCTTCCAATATAGTATAACCCATACGATTGTCGATAGTTTTGTATCTTAGTGGCATAAATACTCAGTAAAAGGTTTAAAAGGTTACGAATTTGATGCGGTTTATAACTTTCAAGTCAGTACCCACTTTTTCAAATAAACACAGTGTAACCCATACAACTTGTTTTATAATTGCTATACGTCAATGCATCATATATTACTATTAGGGATTGATTAGTAATTACACATCACCACAAGGCATGTGTATGGGTGCCCATCACAATCACCAGTCGCCCAAAATGTCGCGTTACATATTTGCATCCCCCAAAAAGAGCAACTGGCATGCTTGAGATGTTTGATTCGAGTTTTTTTTTTTTTCCAGCCTCATTTTTTAATATCATGTGATTAAGTTATTACCTGTAATAGTTAAGAACGTTACAAACAGAGCAAGCTGTGGGTTACAATGCAGAAAATTAATATCCTGGTCTATGACGATGAAATAATTGCCAAGTAATGCTCGATGATAATGGACGTTTTATAGGTACATTATAATAAAGTCCACGAAATCAGCTCGGTAATTCAAAATTCTACGAGTACATTATAACAAACAATATTCACAATCTGGCGATCTCAACGGACCTCTTAAGGGCCTGCAGAAGACTCCTCATGATTCTGGGCTCACCAGGCGGTTCCTCATCTTTTTTTAGTCCATTTCTTATGGCACGGAAAATTGGAGCAGAGTTATCAGTTGCTGGAAAAACCAAGCAGTCAATATGCACAAGAACTTCTGTTTTCCCATCTGCAACCGTTATAAAACCCAATCTAGCTCCACCCCGTATTTTGTCCACCTATTTAATTTCATAGAAAATTATTTCGAACTCTGAAGAAGCATTCAGTTATCCCAGATCAAAGTGCCAAATAGCCTACATGAACTAGATCTTTATATCCAGAAATGCATTAATAAACAATCAAATACGCAAAACGGAAACAATTTTCTCCATAAAGGTTTGACATCCCTGTAGTTGTAAGTTAGTCTTTGACAAGAGATTCCATTCTTCTGCCTCCTGTCAGTGAGCTTAACTCAAGCAGGCATTTAAACAGCGCACCAGGCAAAGTAAACAGTTTTCAGCAGATTGACGTGTGTATGCATCCTAGAACCCTCTACCATAGCACCTTTTGAGTATTATTAGCATATCATACTATGATAGACAACAACAAATGTTTCCGTGTTTTGATGCAGTTCAGATTTTAGAAATGGTATAAACACTCTACAAATTAAATCGTTAGATGCATTGCAGAAAGAAGCAACTGAACATACCTTCAGAGGCACAGGAAGTGGCAGATTGGCTCCCTGGCAAAGACTGTTCGCCCACTGTCACAGTCCAAGAACAAGAGGCAAAACAAAATAGTACTTCCGTCAAAACAGACCGCAGAACCCATTTGTACGGTGATCATTCAAGTTACCAAGAAAAGGAATGAAGTGTGAAGATGTCGTTCTCATTATCAAAGTATTAAATGAAATTATGACAAACTGTGCTTATGTTTTTGTATTTAACCGTGTTATATCTTAGAAAGATTTTATCCAAGGGCCACAAGTCTGCAAGATTTCCTATAAACGGTTCAAAACTCATTCAAGTTATTTAAAAAGATCAAAATTTTTGGAATGAATCAACAAGAAATGCCCGTTTTCTCCCTCTCTTTCCCCTCATTTGCACAGTCTTTCTCCGTCTCATGAGGACCATAAGTCCATCTCTCGTCAAAGTTCTTACCATATTTTTCATCACTCTCATATCCATCAGAAACTAACTTTAGCTTGGCGCCCTTGACAAAGTAACGGTTCGTCTTTGAGGCTCTGCCATAACAAGAATTCTCACACCACCATCAAAAAATATCTTCCCATTGACAGATTCGAAGTGACCTCAATGGACGATTTCAATTTTAGAGACACATCAACAGTGAAGTTGACTTTCCTTTTTAATATTGTGTGAACAGAAAGAAAGAGTGAGTCAGGTTATTTTCTCTCTTTTAATTTTCTGTTACAAAGTTTTACACTGCTCTCCTGATGACATTTGAATCTTTAATTTGCAGTTTTGCTTTTCATCAAATTGAGACCGTTATTTTTTACTGCCTCTTGGTGGGATAGATTTCCTAACTAGTCCCAGTCTTGGCCTTATCCATGGTTCACATTTCTGACGCTAGCATAAGAGAAAATCAGTGAGCAACGAGTAGTGGAGGTGAGAGGCAAATAGAAAGGGCAGGCACACCTGAAAAAGCAAGGATTCGAATCTTTGAAGGTCAGTATCCGGAGGCAAAACCATTGTCCCAAGAGAGACTCCATCGCCGTCATCGTCGGTGAGGCCACCATTGCCAGCGGAGGCCTTGGCTACCGGGAATGAAAGTACCGTTTGATTGCGTTTGCGAAGGGAGAAAGAGAGGTGGTTGCGGCAATTAGGCATCGTGGAGACGAGGGAAGTAGAAGAGAACGAAACATGGGGATTGCACCGCGTGAGGTACAGAAATTGCCTTATGGAAAGTGCCATGGCTTTCCCGCCTTCGCGTACTAAGCGGTGACTCGGGGTAATGGTAGCAAGTGAGGAGAGAGCAAGCAGCTACGACCTATAGTGGTGGTGGAGAATCGGTAATCAGATTCCAAGTTTGAGGTTGGAAACGATCCAAATAATGGCCCAGGAGATAACCTAGCAGATTAGCCATACCCGACTGTCAATCTGAATCTTACTTATTCTTTAATTCTGAGAAAATTACTCCCTCCAATTCCTATTATCAGATTCCTGGGACATTTTCTCCTTAAATTGAGAAAAGTTGTAGTTGTTCCTCTTCATCTTTGTTCTTTGTAAAAGAAATCATAAAACCTTGGCTAAGTCATGAGATCATATTAAAATTCTAAGGCAAAACAAACAAAAAAATGATTTCATATTTTGAGTTTTGACACGGCACTTTATAAAATTGGACTAACTTTATGTTCTAAAAGGCATATTGCATAGTATAGTACTCCTCCGGTCCTTATTATAAGACCCAATTTGACTTTTTATTTGGTCCTAATTATAAGATCCAATCCATTTTCTCTTTTATATTTATGCATTTTTTTCCAAGATAATCCTTTTAATAATGATAGTTTTAGCCAATATACTTAATTAGCAAGGATATTTTAGGAATAACAACACTTATTTATTATAAATAACCAACTTAACTTACTTCCTTAATCTCCTCAAATAAGTCAATTGGATCTTATAATTAGGACCGGAGGAGTATATAGGAGCAGAGATTGTATGTAACATTTATTTTATTTTGAAAATTAAGCCCAACCTTTTTAATAATTTAAATATAAAATAAATATATTTTTCTAATTAATAATTTTTAAAAAATTAATTTTGTTTCTTTTTTTTCGGTTCCATAATTTTGTTAAACCAACATATTTACTCTTATAGCATCTGAAATCTAGAGCGGCCGACACTATCTATGACTGATAAATAATATTAATTTATTATAAATTTTACTATACAAATTGATAAATTAACGGTAATACATTTCAACATGATTATCAGTAGTTTTATTTATGTAAACATGTTTTGCAGGAGATGAATTTAACTGTTAAAAAAAATGAAGATAAATCTTCTGAAACTTTAATACAATAAAGACTCCAAAAATTACAGCGAGTTGAAATTTGAATTGAATAGCATCAGGATGGCACCACGCTGTCGTTTTAAACTTGACGAGAGGTTATGTAACATGAAAAAATGGCTTGCCATTTCGATGGGTGTAATGGGACATTCTGTAAGGCGCGAATAATCCACTAAACACTAGCAGAACTCGTGAAGAGTCAGCTTTGTAGAGATATTATTTCGCTCGACTGTAGCCAACAATTGAACCGGAGCTTCACTTCTCAAGATGATCACGTTCTTAGCTTTAGATTGAAATTTGTACAAAAGTGGTAAGACAATCACACATCCCGTACACAAGAAATGTAACCTGTACCAATAATACAGCAGAGATAACTCTTAAAAGCCAAAATATAGCACGGTTTTGCAATGGCCCCAAAAAGCAAGTTTCCCCCGAGATTTCTCTGCGATTTTCAAACCCTTTAAGCACCTGTGAGGTATTGCGCTCCTGCTTTGGAGGGTTCATTGACAAATTAACTACGAGGAGGAACATGATTCCAGTTTTGGGATCAAACTTCTCCACGCATCAGCAATACCATTTGCAAGGCGTGCCTGACCTTTGGCAAATTCATGGAAAGCAATTCCCATATCTTTAGTTTTCTGTTCCTGAAAACGCACCATCTCCTCGTTCATTAATCTAACAATTGTTTCAAATGTCTGTGCTGCTTGTTCACTCTCTACCTTCAACTGCACCACAAATCCCAATGTCATGATCAAGCAAACCGAGAGGTATACAACTGCTTATTGGAAAATTGATGACAATCATAAACAAACTTGCCTCATTATATTCATGTTGTGCTTCTGCCACTTTATCAGATCGTGTCAGCGTGAGTTTGTCACTGCATTCCACCAGATATAAATAATGAATAAGTATATTAGGGATGTTCTCGTAACTTTTATTTCGAGCTTTAAGCTTGCCTTTCTATTTAAAAAATAACAATATTAGGTACGTTCTAGTGCCCAAGCCACACGGAAAACGCCAACTTCTTTGCATTTGTAAAGGAAATAATGGGGACACAAGTTTGTATATGGGACTGTGAAACAATGAATAGTATTAAGTGCCACCTCAACCAAAAAAATTAAAAGCGCACTATATTGTGCCATACTAGATTAGGTGAACAACGGAACCAGAGAGCCAGGAACATACAGATTAATCTCCTTCAATTTCATGGTTTCAGCTAGCTCACATTGTCTTCTGAAGGCATTGGCTCTCTCTGCTATTGTAGCCTGTTTCAGAATAGCCAAAAAGTGGATAAATGCCTGGGTTTCTCTTTTCTTTTGGTTTTTCCATGAGGTAGTTGGGATTATAATTTTACATAACTATGAAAGAAAACAAACAGAATATTCAGTCATGTTGATGACTGACTGACTGACTAATTAATGAAAGAGAAACAAACCAGACTAACCTTGATAGATTGCACAGCACGGACATAATCTTTCAGAGGCTCTTCAAAATTCATCAAGATCTGATACGCCTGCTTGCCAGAAAAGCAAACAAGGGTTTTTCAGTTTTCACCAATAATGCAAGCAGGTGACCAAGCATGTACGAAAAGCCACTAAAATAAACAATAGGAAGCTTACCTCCTTTTGCAGCTTGATTGATAAAGTCTCAGACTTTGCCCCAAGTTCAGAGAATGCCTTTCCGAGTGCATTTCCTTCACAATCACCAAGAAGTTTCACTGCCTTCCCAAAATCTGAAAGTGACTGACCCAACTCTGCAAGAGCCATCAAAGTAAGATGGTGAGAATAGCATTATGCATAGGGGATGTCACAAGGGAGGATTAGACAGTGAAAATGATTCCCTGAAAGGCAAAACGGGAAGGACAACAGACGCTAAACTAAACCTCACCTCTGTGCCTCTTCACAAGTCGATATGCATGTTTTTGAGCTTCGGCCAAGTGGTTTTCAAGCTCAAAAATGTAATGTTTCATCTTTTCATATTCAGGAGTTGATTCTTCCACTGGCTTCTCTTTCCCAAGGACAACATCACTCACTTTAGACTGCACATCCTGTCAGTATTTGCAAACAATTACAAACGAATTAAGCTGCCAAGACTCACACTCGGACAGCACAATCAACCAGACTACCAGAGAGGTAAAAGCAATTGTCTCAGACAGAGGAAATGGCAATCTATTGCTGGGTAACATTCCACGCATGATAACCCAAGTGATAAATATAAGAGCAGAATAGCATAACTGTAGCAAAATACAATTATAGATAGTTGATCTCAGCGTTGCCTCGAGTCCAGTTCACTGTCCTACTCTAGGCATATACATGATATGCCATGCATCAATGATTAGTTGAGTTGAGAAGCCAACTTCCTTCACCCCTACTACTAAAAGTAACTTCAGCAACTTTCTTTCGTACTTTTTTGTGTATCAATACTTTTTCCTGCAGATTTACTTCTTATTTGCATATAGATTTTTATCAAACAATTTTCTTTTGAAAAGCTTAGACGCGTAGAGTCAGACAAACACTACGGTTCCCCCCCCCCGGGGGGCCCAAAAAAACTAACTTTTCTTCCACCTTGCAATTCATGCACGTTCCATGTGCATGTTCACAGTTAGTAATAGTAAGGGGAAAAGACTGAGTACTGCCCTATTCCAGACAGAATTAGTGTGACTCAAAACTTGACTCCATTTAAAATATTAAAACACTACTAGAAAAATTATCATAATACCAAAAGTATACGTTACCTTGAAAATCTGCATTAAATCAGATGGCTTCTTCTTGAATATACCACTCTCCTGGGCCCTAAATCTCTCCATCGCCTGCATAGATACCACAAAGAAATCAAAATGTAGATTTTCTTGTCCGCTTAAATTGACAAAAATAGCCAAACTAGAAATATACAGTCGCAAAAGATATATATTCACACGCAAGAGAAAGAGAGCTATTCAACAGATTCCAATACCTCACTTTCCAACATGTGAAACAAATTACTATCACAATAATTGAGATGATTGCATGATTCAATTTTTACATAACAATAATTATATGCTAAAGAAAATTTAATCAACGCATGAACTATTCGCTAGCCACCAAGAAACAATCTTCAAAACAAACAATTTATTTTACTCTAATATTTAAATTGAAAAAAAAATCTCATTAAGAAACAAGGTGCAGTAAAAATGAGCCAGTGGCAAAGGGAAGAAGCAAACTTTGCGCTAGATAATGCAAGAAAATTACTCTCATCTAAAACATCTACAGCTGCAGCAGAGGAACAAATTTTACTACTGATATGATATTGTAATAAATAAATAACAGAATTATATGAGTTAGTTAGAATAATAGTTAGTTACTAGCCCTCGGACTTTGCCTATATAAACAGGCTTATCTCTCATTTGTAAGTGTGCTGTATTGTGATCGATCTAATAGAACTCTTTTTCTCTTCCGTTTATTGCCTTCTACTCTCTCCCCCTTCTCTCTAATTCCCCCTATTCTCTCCGTTTCTCTTCCCTTTCCCTCCTCTCTCCCTCTCTTTCTTTTCCAATAACACAACAATGGTATCCAGAGTCAGTCTTTCCTTAGCCCTACCCCACTACTCGGTTCTTTCCCCCTCATTCCCAATCAATTTCAAGTTCCATGGAGGAACGCCTCCTCAACATCGAACAAAAATTGAATTCAGTCGATGGAATACAAGACTCCATCAATAAATTAAAAGAGGCCCTTCTTGGTTTGTCCATGCAGCTGCAAGAAATCATAAGACAAAAAGAATTATATGATAGAAAGGCTTATATGAGTTAGTTAGAATAATAGTTAGTTACTAGCCCTCGGACTTTGCCTATATAAACAGGCTTATCTCTCATTTGTGAGTGTGCTGTATTGTGATCAATCTAATAGAACTCTTTTTCTCTTCCGCCTATTGCCTTCTACTCTCTCCCCTTTCTCTTCAATTTCCCCTATTCTCTCTGTTTCTCTTCCCTTTCCCTCCTCTCTCCCTCTCTCTTTTCCAATAACACAACAACTACT